TTCACAAGGCAACATGAAGCGAATAGTTTATGAAAGTTGAAGTATTCACCCCAGATCACCTCGTTACGTAGACCGTAGATGTGTGCTCGCAACAACCCCTGCTGTTGTTGCGAGCACAGTTATTCCACTATATCTTCCAATATTATTATTTATTTATTTGTGTGTTTTTTAAAAAAATCCAAACCCAAAGATACAGTATTATTAATTTATTAATGTTTTTAGGAAGTTGAGGAAGAAAACGTTTGAAAAACTGTCTCATCTGTTTTTCTAAATGCAGTGTTACTTGATGCATTATGTGACCACTGCTATTTGATTTTGTATATTTTTTGATACTTCTGTCAATTGTTATAGTGAATTGGGTGTTTTAGGAACGTAAACTGACAATGTGTCTTTGTTTTTGTTTTTTTTTGTTTTTTTTTTTTAAGTAAAAGCAATGACGTGGCAGCTGTGAAAGAGGAGCATTTAGCTGCTGTGAGAGTGCTTGAAGAGGCGCACACAAAGTCCCTGAGCAAGATGGCAGAAACTGTCACGGAGCTGGAAAGGTGAGCGCTCGAGCGTCTGTAGTTCTTGGATGTGTCTCTTGAAAAGCCAGTTTGATTTGTGCTTGCTTTAAATGTGGATTTCTGCCAGAGCGTGGGCTTCACGGGATGCTCGTTTTAATTTTCAGTACCAGAGAGGCTTTAAAGGAAGCAAAGGAAAGGCAGAGAGAGCTAGAACTTGAAATTAAGGAGGTGATCCTCACAGGGTTTCAACAGAAGGAGGAGGAGATCAAGAGAGTCAGGGAATGGTTAAAAGAGCAGCAGGCGATACAGTTAGCTGGAGTGAAAGCCAGCGAGCAGATTTTGAGGTATCCTAAAAAAATTGTTTTGTTTTGTTTTTATTTTATTTTTTAATTTTCTACCTTTGCTAAAGTTGTCACTTTTCTACCTTTCTCTTTGACTTTGTAGAATGTTGCTGGAGGTGCAGGCTTGCCTTGCACAAAAAGATGATGAGATGAAGGCCGCGGAGGCGAGCCACGCTGTTCAGATCAGTCAGCTACAGCAGGAGGTACAGCTGCAGAAAAAGGAGAAAGAAGACGCACTGGGACAACTGGGGGAAGAGAGAGGTCAGAGTGTAGCTCAGTTCCAAAAAGAGAGGGAAAAAGCCCAGAAACTGCTGGAGGAAATCAGTGGGGAAAAGGAGGAAATGACGACACAGCTCAAACAAGAAAGAGAGGAGAAGGTTAAAATTCAGATCGCCCTTCAGGAGGAGAAGGAAGCATGTGAGGTTGAAAGGAAAGACCACCAGCAGCTAAGGTCAGAGGTGATCAGACTACAGACTGAGCTCGAGAGATTAAAGGAGGAAAGGAAAGGTCTACTGTCTCAGGTAGAGCTCAGAGACCAATCTAAGGTGGATCTTGAAAATCAACTTAGCACGGCCGAGCAGGCCAGAAATCTGCTTCAGTCTCACCTGGATGAGGTTGAACAAGAAACCGAGAGCTTCCGGGCCCAATTAGGCCTCGCAGAAGAGAAAACACAAGCTCTGCAGCGCGTGTTGGATGAGGTGCGACAAGACGGACGAGCTATAAGAGAGCAGGTAAAAGTACTGACTCAGGAGAAGGTTACGCTGCAGTGGGAGTTGGAGGAGCAGCGGCAGGAACTGCAAAGACAAATAACTGAAGCACAAGAGAAGAGGTGAGAGAGGTTGATCTTTGTGTGTCCTCCGGAGGTTTTTGCTCTTACAATTTGTGCATTTTTAACTCATCGTATACTTTCTTTTAAGTTCTTCAAGTTCAGAGACCGAGCACTGGAAGAAACAATATGAGGAACTGTTTGCCAAAGTCAAGCCCTTCCAGGTCTGTGATTTATTTTTATGACAACTCATAGAAACCCACACACGTTTTCATTAAAGTTGGACTAATTCGTATTTTTAGATTAATAACGGCAAAACCCCTCCTTGTTTAATTGGTTTAGTTGACAGGGTGCATGCACTTTATGTTTATCTTACCAGCAAAATAAAACTGCCACATATGAACCCGCAGATATTTCTCACCCACCTCTGCTGTTCAGGCTGTCTTTTAGTTGTCTTCAGCTCAATTAACAGCTTCAGTACTTCTACACACTCTCTTTGGAGCTCCAGAGTTCTAATAATCCCACTTTACTCTATTCACCCAGCATCAAATGGCTCACAGACACAGTTGATGAAGAAGGTGATTGAGAGGAAAAAAGTGGAGGTTTTTAGCAGTGAATGGAGCAGTACTTGCACAGTACTTTTCTAGTCTTACCGATTGAAGTGCTTTTAAGCAACTAAAAGGCAAGACTTTTTTTTTTTTCCTTCCCCAGAAGTTGGTGAAGATTTGAAGAGTGGAGATGTGTATTCATCAAGTGGTCAAATCACAATGAATGTTGATGTCATAACATTTCTGTGAACACACAGTTATCAGAATAATAGTGAAAACTAATTAATGTGTGTCTGCAGGAACAGCTCGATGCCTTTGCAGCAGAGCGAAATGCACTACTTAATGAGAACGGGGCAAACCAGGAGGAATTAAACAAACTGGCTGACGCTTACGCTCGCCTCTTGGGACACCAGAACCAAAAGCAGAAGATCAAACACGTGGTGAAGCTGAAGGATGAGAACATCTCTCTGAAACGGGTAAAACGTGATGCAGAATTGCCTGCCTTCCAAAACGCAGACATCATTTCAAGCTAACATGCCTCTACACTACACCCTCCCCACCTTCTTTTTATTTATTTATTTATTTTCCCTTTTTTTTTTTTTTTCTTCTTCTTCTTCATGTGTGTGTAGGAGGTGTCTAAGCTTCGCTCTCAGGTGAGCTGGCTAAAGACTGATCTGGAGCAAGTGAAGTCAAAGCTCCCCAGTGCGCCTCGCCGCAGGTTTGACCCCAGCAAAGCTTTCCAACATGATAAGGAGAACAGGCAAGCTGAAGCGTCTGAGCCGCTTAAAGATGGTAAGCACTTTCATCTGGCCAGAACCTTGAAGGAATGATGAGATGAAATATGAATTTTTTTGTGGATGAGTCTCATTTTTATGTAACTCCTAAAGTGTTTTTAAAACTCTGATTCTCTGTTTGTTTTGTTAGGAAACCATTATGGACTTTAGGCTTTAGGACTCTGCTAGCAGCGCTGCCAAGAGACTTTTCTGAGATCTAGTATCTGTGGGTTATGAGAGTGTAAACTGAGGTTTTACAGCCTTTTGTTTTAGTGTGTACATTTTGTGTTTGGATTTTTTTTTTTTTTTTAACAAAAACTGTTTAAATTTAATGAGGTAAAAGATGGAATAAAGTCTTAGATGCTAACAATTTGAGATCAAAAGTGTAACTGGCTAAAAATCCAAGGTGCATTTTGCTAACTGAATTTGAATCTTTTTCATTAATCTTAGGGTTGTAGTAATTATCTCATGGGGAAAAGCTCTGTCTTATTCTGTAAATAAAGACAAATTTTAATACTCTTCTTGCACCCAATCGTTCTTGAGACCTATTCACATGCTAGGTGTAGAAATGCTTTATAAGGAGCTTTTTTCTTTTCTCTCATTTGGATCATTTTGGCCATGTCTATCCTCAGCCAGAAGAGAGCACTCTAGGACTGCAGCCACAGGTTGGAGTACAGCAAAAGGCTACCACAGCCCATGTTTCTGCTGCACTATATATGAGCGACAAAAAAAACACAAATTCACATCTTTGCAGAGAAGAGCCTTGGGTTATGGGTCAGGAAGCTTTATTTCCTTCAGTTGATAAGACATAGCCAGCAAGTATCAGGCCAGAAATTGACTTCGGGACCTTTTTACAGGCTATGAGTGGTGCTCCTGAAGTGGCGAGTCAGTCGCAGTAGCCCTCCAGGTGGTAAATGCTGCACGGCTTGTGGCAGCACTGTTCCACGATCCCTCTCTTCACTTTGGGCTCGTCGCGGCCCGACAAAGCCCTCCACAGTCGCTGGTCCTGTCTGGCCCTTTTAGACAGGAACCCTTTGAAGTGGAGAAAGTTTCCACAGCCCTGTGTTAAGTCCTGATGCTGCTGTGCAAATCTCCAGTTCCGCAAAATACCATTTACTGTTCACACTTTAATGGAGACTTAATGGCTAGTTAATCTGATCTCCCCAATCCATTTAGTCTTGTTAGTCTGTACTTCAAGAGGAGATATGATGGAGCGCTAACGGAGGCATATCATAGCTTACACCCCTAATGTTAACGTCGAAACATCAATAGAGCGTTTGATGCGGAAGATCCAAAAAAGTTTCTAGAAATAACATAATGAATAATTTAGCAATTTCACAATTTTGATCAACTGGTTTTGTCACAGCATAGATGTTGAAAGCTACAAACCACAAGCCTGGCTACACCACTGAACTCAGAGGAGCCTGGAGTTAGGCTTTGCACACTAATGATGACTCAATACATTGATATAGTTCTGTAAAGTTTTCAGCATGTTGTCCCTAAACATTTTTCTTCCAGCTAGCATCCAATTTGGCATTTTCATTAGACTGAGTCTGAACTTTGAACACTGTGTTCAGAGACTAGACACACAAAGCACCACTGGGGTCTTGGGGTGATGTCATGCTGTTCCTTTCTGAACTCCCACCATCAAGGGGACAATTAGAGCTTATTTTACACAAGTCAAAAAAAAGAGAAGCAGAACGGTGGTCTTACCGAGCAGATGTTCCACATCACGCTTGTGGGTCCGGCTCGGATTGTAGAAAAAGCCCCTTTCTCCACACACAAAGTAGAGGGCGTCCACCAGGTGGGAACCACACAGATGCTTGAGGGGGACCGAAGACCCCCCTGGAGAGCAGAGCATCAGCAGTAACAGCATGGACACTGCCCATGATACCCTGGCCATACGAGGGAGACCGCTTGAACAAAGGACAAAAAAGAGGACTTCATACACAAACACTTGAAAGCTATTCAGATTTTTATTGTGTTGGGTTTCAAAGAAAAGTGTAAAAGTGAATTCAGTTATCAATACATAATGCCTGAAGGTTTGGAGGAGTGAAAGAGCATGAAGTGATGCCGAATGATGACTTTTCCTGGCATTTTCATTTAATAACTTCTTGTGAGATTCTACCTAATAGCTGCAAAGATGAGGCACATGGCAATACCCCAACTCAAAATTTAGAAAGGAGGGAGAGGGGGGGAAAAGCTAATACTGCATTCTTTGATGGAAATGCCATTTGAAAAACAAGATCTGTGGAAGAGTTGTCGTATTCTCCAAATTTTCAGTGTTTGAGAAAAGAGGATCATTTCAAATGTTACATCTTGATGACGCACTTGGTCTTCACTCTGTTTTTCACAAGGCTAATGCAACATATAGTGATAATCTTTTTCTAAATAGAAAATCATCCCTAAAAATGTAATATTTTTGTAATGTTCTAAGTTTCATAGGTATATTTTTTTTTCCTTTTTAGTTTTTTTAGATTTCAGTCACCCAAAGTTGAGCCTAATGTTATTTCTGCACAGCCTCTGTTGAAGTAGATTGAAAATTGATTTTGTTCTCAGTCCGTTTGCTTTACTTTTATCCCCAGTTGAGCCAGATTTTATGATGGCCCCATCAAAGCTAGAAAGAATATGCCCCAGAATCACCAATGTGGATACTGTCAGTGTATCCTCAAGGTCAGCCCACACCTTGCTGTCCAGCTTAGCAGTTACAGTGCTCAAGAGTGGAGATGATTTGTCCAGTATTACAGAAGTGATATTAGTTAAATCCTATTTGTGATGGATATTCTTGCACGTTTGAAGTTCAGCTTCTGTTTCAAGGTGAAAAACATATTTAGCAGTCATTTAGAAACTATATAGACCTTTTGTGGACATCATATAATGTACTGCAGATTATTGGATTGAAAATAAATCATTTTAACAGTGTCTTTAACAATGCACCTGTGCCAGACATTACAGCATTGGCAGAACACTCTATCGGGTCCGCCACTCCTCTATCCCTCTCGGCCTTGTGCCAGGCTCCTTGGCACAGTAGATGGGTTGAATTATAGATTCTGCCCACACTTTATTTTCATCCTGGTTATTATACACATAAATTTTAACAGTGAAAATCTTGAGGGAATACAGACAAACTTCCTTACCTGTGTTTGAGGCCTGAGTGCAGCAGAGCAGCTGGTGGTTAAAGATGAAAAGGGCCTAGGCATATAGGGCTATACTGGTAGAGAACATCTCTACTTGGCTACCTTTGCCCCTTAATAACTCTCCACCTGGCTTTTGTCAGCCTCAGCGGAAAACCCTAAGGTCCTCTCATTAAAACCCTGACCCGTAAGCATGCTGATCTGCTCTTCAGTCGCACTACGTCATTTAACGGAGTGTGGACCTGCAATAACGGGATGTAGTTGAGAAGGCAGACATCCAGCGATGCCCAACTCAACCCCTGCTGTGTGTTGTCCTGACTTGCTCTGGTAACAGGATGACTGACAAACACCATATGCCATGTTCTGATCACAAGCGCCATGGACTTCCAAGTTTGCCAGTGACCACTGCTGGTGTTTTTAGGTACTGTCACATAGGACTCATGTGAATAATGTTTGCGTCATTCAAGTCCAAGTTACAGATGTACATATGCAAGTTCACACAGGCGTTTTTATTTAGTCGTTTATATTAATATATATTATATATTAACATATATATAATATATATTATATATTATATATATAATATATATATATATATATATACTCTAAATGATAAAATACTCCTATCAAATTTTGTACAAATTTATTTTTTGAAACTAATTATGAATTAGAAATGTAGTCACATTTCTAGATGTTGTGGACATGTGGATTAATAGCTTGCTGACATTTTCTTAAACAACTTACACTCAGCAAATGCTGTAGATGATGTGGACTCAGAAAATGTATTTTTAAAAGGACACTAGAAAAACTTGCAAAGAGATGCAGATGTTAATAAGATGACTGCTAAAAGCATGAACCTGGTTATTATAGTACCTGCTATGGTTACGGTTTCTAGGTTGAGGAGGGAATTTGGCACAATGTCACAAACTTTTATCTTTCCAGGTCTTTGCAGTGTTGTTGCGCTTTTATTGAAGAATAAAAGTTTTTTGAACTTGACGAAACAATTGCGTAAGCAGTGGGGGACTTTAACAAGCATCTGGAAATGGAGGAACAATCTAAAAATGGGGTCTCCCATTCTTCAACAATGTAGTTTCATATTTTTATCTAACACTTTTAAATAGAAAAGGAGGTTATACAAAAAAATTGAGTCAATATTTAGTATGACCACCCTTATTCTTCAACACAGCCGGAACACACTTAGGGAAACATTATAATTTCTTTAATTAGTCTTTGGGAATAGTTCTCCAGGCTTCTTGAAGGACATTCAAAGCTCTTCTTTGGATGTTGGCTGTCTTTTGTTCTGTTTTCTGTCAAGAGGAACCCACACTGCTTCAATTATGTTGATGTCCAGGTTCTGGGGCGGCCAATCCATGACTGAGAGTGTTGGCATTGCCGAGTTTTAGGAATCACTTTGCCTACTTTACGCAATACCTTTTTTATTTTAAAGAAATGGGAACAATTTATGTATTTTTGTGATAGGCTGCTAGCAACAAAGTGCCTAAATGTACAATGTAAAATGGGATTTATGAATAAAAGATACCTGGTAGCACTTCCGACACTGTTTCATTCACGTCTTGTCTTGTTAAAATAAATAAATATTCTTAACAGCAATATCTGTACAATTTTTCTTTGTAACATTGTTACTTATTTAAGCCTTTTGTAACTATTCTTTTTCAGTTCCAAAGACAGATTTATAGACTATGTTTCCAGCTCTAATGGGCCATGGGTATTTATGCTTATGTTATTAATGCTATAGTCCAAAAGCATACACAAACACAACAAATACAACAGTGACAACCGAAGCAGAATTTGTCCTCTATTAATGTTTCTCCATAGATCAATCCTGCAAAAGATGCTTAATCATGTTATTTAATGTGCAGTGATTTCTCATTCCACTCAAGAGAGCATCCATAAGTCTTAGTATTTCTTCTCTGTGTATATCTAATTGATTCATGTTAGGTAAATCTGATGCTGGTAATTAGTTTTTATCCTGAAAGCACATGTGTTCAATCAAAGATTTCGTTTTTGCTTTGGTTATTTTTATTTAAAGGAGTTCTGTGCTGCTTTTCCCTTATGAATAGCAGAAGGGGCGGGAGCTCCTTAAGGAAATTATAAAAACAGGAATGATCTCTTATTAGCTATTGTACTATCAAACAAGGGAAAAGCAAGATTAAGAACTGTTTGCGCGGTAGAAATGTTATAATTTAATTTACACTGCACAAACACAGGTTATGCTCACATTTGACTGCTGATTCATATGGCCTATACTTGTTTTAATAGAAACAACAAGACAGCTACAGCCTTGAAATTCTTCTACATGTTTTTCCCCAACTGCCAGAGACTAATTAACCCAAAGTTCAACTTGTTGTTCATTTATTTTCCACA